GGGTGAAAGGAAGCGCGCTTGGGATGGTTTCCTTGGAAATATGTTTCTCGTCGCACCTGGGCCAGGTATAAGTGGCGTCTGCGCTTGTAGTGCCGTGTCATTGAAGCACGTTCGGGGGATGTCTTGGTTGACTCGTAGTTGGCAGGGCGCCTCGCACTTGCTGCTCATGGGATTGCAGCGCTTCCGGGTGCTCGGATTGGCGCGCACAGTCGCAGTGTGCGCGGAACTCATGCACTGTTGTTTGACAGGCGCATGTCGGTACTTGCGTGTTTGCTTGACGGCCGAAGACTGAGCCCGCATTCCAGTGCGCTCGGATTGCCTCGGTAACGTGCGAACACAGACGCCGGCCTGGGATGCGCGCTGCGCACGTTGCACTGCTACAGTGTCCTGCCCGTGCGCATGCCGCTCATCCCTCCCGCAGCTGTCGCTTCCGCGGCCTCGTCCTCTCAGTGCATCACAGATTATACAGTTTCTTGCACAGTCCTCATACTGCGAAACATTCCCCAGAATGAGCAGCACCTGCTGTTCCCTCGGCCGGAAGGGCGAGGGACAGGGGGTGTTACATCTCACAGCGTGTTGCCTTACATGTTGGGCCAGGGGAAGAGGGGGAGGGGCGGGAAGAAGAAGCGAGGGGTATGGTCCCTCATTCCGGAAAGAGGAAATATCGTCCCTGATCGCGGGGCAGGATTTTCACTGCTGCTCTGTACTAACTGAATTTTGCATACTCCCTTCATTGTTTTGCAAATGCGCCCTCAGACTTGCACGGAGTTGAGAAATGCGAATATTACGAGTGCCGCACGCATTTCAACAGACACACGCGCACACTCTCATACACGCACATGCACACATACACACAGACACAGACAGGTTGTGGAGCACAGGGAAGAGGGATACATTGTTGAAGTAGCGTGAATGAGGAAGGGCGCTGTGTTTTGATCGGGACAGCTGCTCGTCGTCGTCGTCGTCGTATTGTGTTTGTGGCCGGTGATATCAAATTTGAATTCGAGATTGAATTTGAATTTGTCTCGCTCCAGGAGCGACGACGCCGAAGCGGCAGTAGCACCACGGAAGAGAGAGATGGCTCGGAAGAAAGTGACATGCTTCTCGGTTCAGCTGTACATACTGTTGAGCATTATCGTGGTGAGCCTTTTGTCTCTTTCTCTCTCATCCACAAATTTCAGGGTACAATTTACTTTCATCACGTTAAAGAGTCTGATTTCAAGCCTAACCGTTACTACACGTGCACCGCCGAGAATACGAAGCTCAAGGACTACAAGTTTGGCAGCCAGTTCCGTCTCGATGTCACCAAAAATCGTCGAAGAGCACGTTAGTCTTGATTATGCATTTTCATCGCATTTATGCAAATCAGTTACACGGCGCGCTCCGTGCTGCACCCTCTGCACAGACCCATTTCTTACAATAAATTGTTGCTTTCCGCTACTCAATTTAATTGCTCAGCAATCCTATTTCGTCTTGTTACTTATTGATCACTGCCCTGCGGTAAATTAGGCCGCCCTCCTAGCCTAGGCCCTGTTCTTCCCCATTCGAAGAGAAGGAAATTTTCCAGGACGGATAATTTTTGAATTAAAAGAGGTCCTGCGCTTAAGATGACTTTACACACGTGTATCACTGGTACTTTAGCATTGCCGGCCTTCTCCTCACTTCCGATAATCTTTCGCCATCATTTCTTTTTTCCTCTTTACCATCGTTGTAACTGTCTCGCTGCTCTATTTTCGTTCTCAGTCTCTCTTTTCTTTCTGTCTTCCTGTCGTTGTTTCTGGAGAATTTATAAATGGGGTTATTGGAGGTTATTTGAAAAAGGTCTTCCATCTCCTCATGTTTTGAGCCAAAACGAGTAGTCTTCTGTCTTTGAAGAATAAAATTTTCACTGGATTTGTTGCCAGCT